TTATAGAGACCTTTTCTATGTGGTAGCTCAGCATCTTTGTCCTGTCCAGGCCACTTCACACTCTCCCTAAAAATAATGTTTTGAGAGTAATTTCAACTGTAATCCAAAATTTGAGATTTGTATGGTTCATTTTGATATAAAGAGATGCCTCTCCAAAGAGGGATTGTGATTCTACCTATTTCAGAATAGGCTTAATTCTTGCTTTGCCAAGGCAAGTCAGTGAAATGGGAGTATTTTAGTTATAATGTTGACAACATAAGTTACATAATATGTAGCACGCTCATATCTGTGTCTTATGCTTTTATATTTTTCCTTCTTTTCCTTTTTTTTCCTTCTTTTTTCTTTTTTTGGATGATTTTCTTGCTAGAGAGTGTACTCCCTATTGGTGGGACTGCAAGTTACACATTTGCAGTATTTGCCATATGAGGAATGAGTCTTCCTAACTGACTTTCTTGCGACTTTTTGTATTTCATCTGAATGTAATATGCATGGCAGTGAATTGCCAGGTGAATTGCATACTGTATTCCATCTGCTATCAGCTGGCTGAGCCTTTCTCTTGAACTTGTGAATATATTCTTCCAGGGCAAGTGCACATCTGTTGGTCACTTATGAAACTTAGAAGTATTAAGATATGTGTAGCTGCAACACTGAATCTTCCACTGATATGTGAAATGTTATGCCTTTAATACAGCTGCAAGGCAGGCTGCCAAGTGTGGGAGGGCAGTGCTAGAATACCTCTTACTAATAGAGGTGACAGCAAGAAGTATTGGCTTTTGATGGTGCTTGTCATTCTGCTAAAGTGGGTCCATATTTTCATATGATCTACTGCCTTAAAAACCCAACCCAACCCCCAAACCAACCAACCAACCAAAAAACCCAAACCCCAAAACCCCCAACAAAACAAAGCATCAAAACCCTTCCAGTTGTCCATCCTTCTCATTTTTGAAAGTTACTTGTTAAGAGATGCTGTGAGTTGCCAGGGAATTTAAAGAGCCACAAAGGAGTAGAGAACAGGTGTAGGGTTTTAGTAAATGAGGTTGTCAGATCTTTCTATTTTCACATACACAGGACATGCAAACCTACAGCAGGATTACTCCTTCCTCCTCTCCTCCCCCCCCAGTTGCTACAGGTTAAGCAACAGTTCTTTCCCTAGAACAGCTAACAGAGACAAGTTTGATGGCTGTAATTATAGCTGGTAGATTTAGTGAATGCTGATGCTGGCCACTGAACAGGGTTTAGTGATCTTGATGCAGGTTGTAAGTGGGACTTGAAGCAAAAGAAATGCTATTAAACCAAACTACTCGGGTTTTAGCCTGTTCCTGCAGTGAGGCTGGGTAGTCATCCATTCTTCCATCAAAGTTCAGAGGAAATTCTCATATGCTGCGTGTTCCTTTGCTATCACTTACTCTTCATTATGTGGTATTGTGCATTAGGAAAGCAAGCTCTTGGAGTGAAAAGTGATTTGAAGGAATAAGAGGGTGTATGTGGGCAACTTGTCTTTTGGGCAGCAAATTTGCTGGATGAATCACTGAGGTATGCTGGGAATACTGAGAACTTTACCTATGTAATTTTGTAATTACATAGGTAATTCCTTAAGGGTATACGACGCAAGAAGAGAGCCAACTCTTTGGCTATTGGAAGTAATATGAAAAGTACTGCTGTTAAAAGTACCATGAGAAGTCCTTCAAACCACTGTGTGTGTAAAAAGATGAAATGCATTTTTTCCATAATAATCTGAGTTATTTTGCAGATAGGTCTCTATTTAGCTAGTGATTTTCTGCAATTTTGGGAGCCATGTTGGAAATGCAATCAAATAACTTTTGTACAGTGACATTCTTTTTGTACATGCATTGTTTTCCTGGATTCTCTGTTGATCCTTATTCAGATAACTGCCTGATACAACAAATTGAGTAGTATTTTTTTTTTTAATTGCAGTTAAATGGTTTAAAACTACAGGTCATGTAATGAGTTGATAAATTTTCAGCATGTCTTAAACTCCTGTTTTTCATCTTTTACTTTTTGAATCATAATGTGTTATTGGTCAAGTTTTGTAATATACCTCTTTATTAAAGTAATGTACCTCTTTTAACTATGTGGTGCCTGGGTAAGCAGTAGCCCATGTTTTTGTGGTGTGGGTTTTTTTTTTTTGTTAATTAAATTATTGAGATAATCACTAAGTCCTCAGCAGAAAATAAATGTTGGAAATGCATATCAATTTAGCAATTAAGGTCTATTTCATGCAGGATATAGCTCCAGAGGTACTGCTTCACACTTTCGTTGTTCTTAAATAAAAGAACCCCCTCTAATGGTATATGTGTGTTAATGAAATGCAAGCTAGAAATTACATTAACTATTCAGTAGGAAAAAACAACTTCTGCTTTTTTAAACTGATGTTATAAAAATGTTGCCTTGTTAGCTTTCTTTTTCTCCTTCATCATGTTTTGAGAAGAATAGGGAGAATGATGGGGAAAGAAAATCGCATTTTTACTGAATTAAAGTAATCCAGATGCATTCCAGAGAAGTACCTGACCAGGATAAGTGTGTTGCAGTTTAAAAGTAGAATCCTTTGTTAAATTCACCAGGAGAAATACTATTTCAAGTGTATAATATTTTAAAGTCTTTATTAGTGTGAGTGTTTGCAAGTGCCTTGTGCATAATAAGGTTGTGCATTTCTGGTTGCAGTTAAATATAATTGCAGCCCATCTCAATGAGACAAATTCCTGTTTGGCAGCTGCATCCTCAAGTAATGGTATAATTTAGTCTAAGCTGTTCTCTACTTCCGTTTTCTGAAAACAAAAGGAGCTGGTGCACAATAAAAGTGAAGTGTAACTAAATGTTCTTGAACTATTGTCTACCTTGATTTACACAGGAAGATCAGTTTTTGTAAATTTCACTAAACTGCTAGTTTCCTTCTTAACTCTTCAAGAAGCTTTATAGAGTGTTGTTTTCTAGAGTTCAGTGTCTATGTATTAGAGAGACTGCTTAAAAAGTAAATGCATTGAACTTCTTTTTCCTAGAGAAAAAGACAGAAGCATAGTAAATCATTATTGTCTTGACTAATGTTAATTTTATTATTTCTTTCAGTCCACTCATTAGAATTGTGCTTGCATTGTGGATTGGGTGGGCAAACTCTTGGTCAGACTCAATTTCACAGTTGCAGTAACCTGAAATAACAATATCTTACGCAGGTGTGAAAGCAGAGAGAAGGGGAAGAGAAAGGGATATTAACGTCTTATGTTAGGTCTGAAGGGTAAGAGACCTGTGCCTGAAGTTGTGCCTTCTTAAAAATACTAGCAATAAAAGAGGATATTTGTGCTTCTCCACAACTTGATCTGCTTTCTGCAGATTAAGGTGACTTTCTCTTCTATTAGAGAATAGATAAAAATTCATGTCAAGTTAAATTTAGGATGTCAGTTATATTGAAGTGAGATAATTAACTGTCCAAAGAAGTGGAGCAGGCTGAGAATTGAATGAAGGTGGTGGCTTAGTTTCCACAGCTGTCTGGTTGCTCTAGTGGACAGGGAGTCTAAAATAGGGATGTGCTTCTCTGGGGAGTTGAATTTTCTCTCAAATGTATTTTTGCTTGGTAAATACAGCCACTGAGGTTTGCGTACTTGGAGGTTGCAACTCATTAGTGTTAAAAAGAAACAAAGGAAAAACCAAAATACCCCTCTCAAAACCTGGAGAAAACTGCTCATCACAGCTCACTTTTTTTGAGGAGGAATTTGGCATACAGCCATGTGCTAAACCTCCTGCATGGGGGAGCTAGATTAGTCAAACCTTCAAAATTACCAAAAATGTCAACTGGATTGCATACAAAATTGCTTTGCACTACACTAAAGAATTGTACAGAAATGATCCCAATAAAAATTGCTGCCTCTTATTTTGTGAGTGTGTGTATGCTGAACAGTGTCTGTAAGTAACGATATAGTAAGAGAGTAGATTGGATTACAAAAGCAAAGTTGAAGCATGACTTGAGTTTATGTTGCAGTTAAGGACAGGAATGGAAGATACTAACCACTGAGCACTGTGTAGCCTTGAATCACGAGGCCAAGAGACACTTCTGAAAACTGTTCACAAGACAGGGAAGACACCCCCTCCCGCTCCCCCAGTGTTTTGTACGGTCAGCAGAAAGAAAATCCTATGGAAGCCAGTGATGGCTGGCTGGTCTTCGTGGCTTGGAGAGCTGAGGTTCTGTCAAGTGACTTCACTCAAGATGTGTGAAGATTTTGTTGCGTTGTCTTCTTGGTGGTTTTTTGGAGGGTGATCAGTGGTGGACATCTGCAATGCTGGAGGGTTCTGAGGAGAGAGGAATGAGCTGAGAGCACTAATAATGTGCAAGACAGAAGTGAGCTAACTGGCTCAAGCAAGGAAAGAGGCTGAGGGAGACTGGTAGTTTACTTGAAGAGTTAAGTGCTTAAAAGTTGAAGGTATAAAGAGTTTTTTTTTAAATTTATTTTAATTTTGAGTTAGTATCTTTGTAGAGTATATAAGATTTTTACTGCGAAGACAATTTGATGTTAAGGTAAATTTTTAATATGGATTTAGCACTAAGATTAAAAAGAGCATTCCCACCCTACCCCCCAAAAAGAGCAACGTATCTGTTTGGGGCATTGGTCTTGGCGAATGTACTTGGTTAGTGGCTGTTTGTTGATAGTACCTGAGTAAGTGATATTAAATTTTAAAAAAAAAAAAAAAAAAAAGTAACAGGGTTTTATACTTCTAAAGAGGCCCAGTTGTCAATAAGTGGCTAATTTTTACAATAAAAATATTTTAAAATATTGAAGCCTTGATTTTATAAGTGCTGTAAAAGACTTGGGCTGTTTTAAATGATCATTTTAGAAATGCACATTCTCTTTTGTGTTTGACTCGTAACCTTAAGGCATTAAAATGGTTCCACCTTTTTTTTTTTCCTTTTTTTCTTTTTTTTCCCCCAGAGGAATACAACGTGCTTAGGGGCTGGCCTTTGTCTGTCATGCATTCCCACCATGACAGATTTAGCGAACTGCAGCTGAGAAGTTGGGCTAGTTTGTACTTTCTGCTGCTTGTGCCAGGGAAAAAGCTATTATTTTCACTGGATCTCTGGCATGTTGATTATTTTGATGCCAAAAAGCATACGGTTTTGCTGCTGTTTGTATTTTCAACCAAAGAATGCAGGCAAGAACAAACAGAAATCCTAAGAAAGAGCTTATTATAGAGTCTCCGCAGCAGTGCAAGGATGCAGGTCCTTGTGAAGTAGAAGTGGAGAGTCCTGTGGTAGTGCTGGTAAGAATTGTTTAAGCAAGCCATCTCTTCCCTTTAATAATTCCAGTTCTGTCTGCCAGTGAAAAACTGCTTAATCTGACGCTAATGAGAAGTTCCAGCATTCTTACTTGTGAAGAAGGTGTGCTTAGGATTTGGGTTTGATACTTTGTGTGTTGTCTGCCTTTTTAATTATTTTTTGCTGTTCTGGTTTACCAAATCTTTGGTTCTCTCTGAGTGTGACTTTGGAATTTGGTTTTCATACTAGCTGCTTTTCGGTGTCTGTTCTGTTTAGCATAGTTGTACAGCTCTTTGAACGTAGCATGAAAACTATTTACACTTTAAAATACATTCTAGCACTTCTATTTATTAACTGCCCAGCATATCTTTCAATTAAAATATATTTGAACTCTCTAAAGACTGTGTGTATAACGGTTAAATTTTACTTAAATGTTCTAAGAACTGTCTAAATAATTCAGGTGTACTTCTGCTAAAGGATCTGTTTTCCAATGCCTTCAGTGCACATTATTTAGGAATTTAAAGTTTTAAAGTAGCTTCCAGTGAGGGAAAAGGGAATATTTCTGTATGTGAGGGAAGTAATCAAATAAGAATATTTTTTTTTTTCCTATCGCTACACACTTTGTTCTGTTGGATTTTCAATAGTACAGCAAGAGAACATAAGCAGCAAGCTGTAATGAATCCACCAACCCTCTCCAGCTAGGACAATAAACCTTTTCAAATAACAGAGGAGGATTGTTAAACTAATATATCAGTAGAAAGAAGTACTTTGATAGTTCTTACTAAAATTTCAATTTTACTTAGTAATATCTCGTACTTAATTGCTGAATTAAAGGATGACGGTCTCCTCTTTATTTGTCTGGCTGTGGTTGAAGTTAGTGGGAGCTGTGATCCTCAAATTATGGTCCCCCCCTTATTTGAGCTTCACGCTACACATTTAAGAATTGAACTAAAACATTTTGGCTATATATATTTAGTAATACACATCTGTAACTTTGTGGGAATTGTTACTGTATATAACTGAAAGCTTACATGTGTGTTAGTAAGACAAATTTTCTTTTCCTTCACAGTGTTTTCCTTAGTTTCATTCTATTCAGAGCAGTTGTTAGTAAAACGTGTTTTTTTTATATGGGTGTGTTCTGATTTCTGGTCCAGATTTTCATCAGTACAATATGAGCTAATCTTGTGTGTGCTTTCCTGCCCTTGGAATGTTTAACTTTATTTAGAACTGTTTTTATTCCCCCATGAATACTCAGAGAGGATATTAGTGTTTCTGCAGATACTTGGAGTACTGCAGTTGATCAGCAAGCCTATGTACTTACTTTAAAAACAAAAAAAAAGTATAAAATATTATTGTGTTTACTTACAACCATTTATGAAGTACATCCTTATAATTTTTTCAGGTACTACTTAATTTAATGTTCATGGATTAATATACCTCCAGTGTTTGCCCTCCCTTTTTCATTTTCAGATGAAGTGGGTGCGTTCAAAACAAAGGTCAGTATTTCAAGGGAAGAACACTTAGGTTCCACATAGGTCACATAAAAAATGTCTTTGCTGTCATTTCAGTTGGTATTTTGGTCTTAATCTGTTACATGTATAGACAAGCATATATATGGCATATAATTATAGATGGTATAATATCCCTTTTTGCTTCTGCTTTTGTCTAGTTTATTGAGGAAAACTAGATGAAATGGTGCAAGGACACTTTGCACTAAGTGTACTGCTAGGCACAAAGCAAAAAGTAGGGTGTTATGTTTCATGTAACACTGACATTTGGGTCCATTTTTATTTCATTGGGTTGTGATATTGCAGTAGATTTTTACTGCCACAGTGAAAGTGGGTATTTTCTCACTGGTATAGGGTGCAGTAAGGTAATAAGTAAGACTGATAACGTTGCTAGTTGGTGTAACAGAATGTAAACAGCAGAACTTCTTGTTTTCTGGATTAGAAACCTTAGAATTGTATTAGATAGCAATCCTCAAAACCATTTGGAACAGCGAGGCTTCTGGTTTACTCTAGTAATACTTCTCATAGACTATTGCCTAAAACATTCTTTCAGGTGTGGATTTATTCCTTTTGTATGTGTAATTATGACGTTATTTACCTAGCATTCAAGTTTTTTGAGTATTCTTTATAAAGATGAGGCAGAATCAGCTGTCAGGACTTCAAGGAAGCAACAAGTTTTTTGTGATATTCATTTAATTCTTTTAAATGTAGTTCACAGAGAGTCTGCTAGAGTATTGAGAGAACTGAGTATTTATAAATGTAAGTGTCCCACGTGATATTGAAACTATGTTATTTGATTGAGCGCTGTGCCTGAACGAACTTTTCCTGGATAGGTGGGTAGGTTCACAAAAGGAGTTGTCTGCTGTTTTCAGTGCCAGAATGTTAGTACGTGTGCTCTCTTGTTTTCCTGCGATTTGTATTAGATTGTGTCACAACTTTGCTTTTGAGGTTAACAAGCAAGAAAAGCCCACAGACAAAGCATTTAGATTTTCTGGGTGGTGCCTCAAAACCTTACTTGGGATGAACTGCTGTTGTGCTAGCTGTTAGTACACGTGCTGTCCAGTTCCATTTTGATAGTTAGAAGTAGTAACTGCTTATCAAATCAGATGATGTTTCTGGGAAGTTGGAACTTCTGGAGGCCGTCTTTCTGCTTGGAAACACACTGGCAGTATAAAATGTAAGACACCTGAGCTCGTCTGTCTAGCAGAGCATTGCCCAAGTCTGATTCTAGTGTTAGAAGTTTCTGTGCTGATAAGAGAACTTCGTAGGACACAGCATACTTGCTTTGCCTCTGAAGGTAAAGCAAATCACAGAGGAGGCTAGAAATTAAACAACTAGAACTGCATCCATATTAACAACCTGAGGTAAATGCTGGCAATACAGAAGGTCTTATCAAAAAGTTTGAGCTCTGAAAAGTGTTCTTGTGTTTAAATGGACCTTGACCATCAACGAAATACTTCTTATAAATAAAAGCACAATGCTTTCTAATTTAGACTGTGTTCACTGAGTTTTGGAAACCCCCATTCTCTTCTGTTACAGCCCCCTGAAGACTTGGGTGAACAATAGAACAAGAGTTTTCAGGTTAAGCGGGATGGGGGGGAAGGAGAAGTTAATTATTGTTTTTTAAAGGAACACTGCGCAAAGAAGCCTGTATAACTGTCTACTCTACACAGAGAGAGTATGGCTCACGCTGTGTCTGTAGCCCCGGTAAAACTCCTGATCTGTTTATGTAAGCATGAAAAGAGGTGACTTAATGCATTTCATTATTTCAAGTCCTAGAGACTTAAAAGTTTTGAATTTGTCAATGAAAGCGCATTGTTGCTAAATATATGCATAGTGGTGTTTTTTTACATAAACCTATAGCAGCTTATTCCCTCCCACTGTCCCAAAGTTTACATCACAAAGTTAACCATACCCAAGAAAGGGGATAATAAGTAATGTAATATTTAAGAATAAGCTCTAAGATACATATAATTTTTTGAATGGATTTTTAAGTTGATTAAAAAATAACCCAACCTGGGCAATTTATTTTGAGTTTATTTTGGTTGTGGGACAAAAAGATAAAGGGAGCTGTTACCCGTGTTTAGTATTAAATAGTCTTATTATTTGTCCAAAGTGGCTTGCCTCAGGCCAATGTTGAGAAATACGTAACACCATATATTCATCAATTCATATTCTGTGTTGCCTGCTTGTAGCTCCATTCTACTCTTTATGGGGACTTGTTAATTTGCAGGCTTATGTGCTAAATATGTTTTTATAAGGTAAATGATGTTTTGTATTGTAGCATGAGGCTAACAATACCCAGTGTGCTTAACCTGACCATCCTTTGTTTTCTGGGAAGAGAAAGATAACTTTTGTCTCAATTTAAACATACAAGAAAAAACGTACTGTATTATTTTTTTCTGTAATATATAATGTAGGCAATCATTGAACTCCTAACTTAAAATTCCTTTTATCTGATGGCTTTTGACACTGCTTGTCCAAATATATAAACCATATTCTGGCAGATTAAAATGGTTACCATGTGGGTGTCACGACTGCTGTTTCGAAATGCTTCTTATTTCTGGTATGTTTCCATACCTATAACACCCTGGCAAAAAACAAAGTGGTATGGCAGATACTTTGCTGTTTTATCTTCCCACAAATACGGCATTGGCTAGCTCGAGTGCTGGACCCTATGAAGCCCTATGCTCTTAGCATTTTCTTAAATAAAAATGTTGCTTGTTGCAGATTAATAGGAAAAGTTAAGCCTTGTTTGAAAGACTGACTTTTAGTGCCTGTAAACTTGATTTTGCAGGTTTGACTGGGCTGAGTTTTATCTGTGTCAGCTGGTCCATAAATCATATTCAACAATACTGTACCTACCCAGCATCTTTTCTTTTATATTACATGAAATAATAGACCGGGAAATCTTTTTTTCTGAAGAAGAGCTTGAGAGAGAATCTGCTTCCTTGTGGTGTTGGAGGTTTGGCTAAATGCCAACATCAGTGTGCTGTTTATTGTTTTCTTTTTTCATATCTGGTTCAAACTGATAAAACATCCTCTTCCTTTTGAATCTGACAAATGACTAAGAAAGAAATGAGTAATGCTTTGGAGAAGCCTGGGGAAGCAAATTATTCATGAATTTTTAGAGAAATTATATTTCTGCTAATCAGGTATTTTACTGATTAAATGGTGTGGTTTTCTGGTACCACTAACTACCTCTGTGTTCCATTGACTTAGAGGAGAGGTATATAATCAGGGCCTCAGCTCCAGAGAGCTTTAGATTCTTTAAAAGCTTCTAATGAGGGAGGATTCTTTTTTAATCTTGTGTTTACAGCATGTAAGCAAAATGTGAGCAAAGCTCACTTTCATCAATTTTATGGTTGTGGTGGACCTGTTTTGTGACTATAGGGTAGAGTCATGCATTTGCAATTAATTGGATGCTTTCTGAAGCTGCAATATATGTATCTTTGGTTTTTGAATTAGCTGTGCTAGAGAAGTGATTTTTGTGTGTGTGTACACCCATGAAATAATTTTGGTTACGCTGTTTTTAAAAGTAAGCCTTTTCCTCTATTTTTGCTCGTAAAATGAAAGGAGCCAGAGCTAGCTTCCTTCCAGTCTTCACCTGTTGCCTTCCCAAGAGAATTAACAGGAGGATGAACATAGCTCTTCAGCACCAGGGAGAAAAGGATGAAAATGCTAATCATGTGCAGCACCACATAGAAATCCATTACCCATTTGAGATGACAGCTTTCCCTTGCTACCAGTTAGTGGAATTGGTGCTGTGATCTGTCTGCTTGCTAGTTCAGACAGTAGATGTCCTGATATGTGAACCTTCTGACAGTATTGATCACGTATATGTTTCTTCTTTCCTTTAAAAGGCTTCCCAAATTGCATTTTAGGTATATTAAAATAGTGGCCTGAATTTTTTTTTTTTAAGGACACTTTAAAAATTGTGAGCTGCACTGAAGCTGAGTAACAGAATTCAAAAATGTTTTTGCAATAGCTTTTAATAAGGACAGAGTTTCATGTTCTGTTTAGTAATCTGAATCTCTCCTGCTTCTGAAAGGGTCCCATCAGCTCCCATCTGTTGGCACAAGTGGTCATGCAGCCGTGTGATCAGCATTTCAGAAAGCCAATCTGGCTTAACGCTCTCTGATTGGGAGGAACCCTCTAAAGCCAGATCACTCCTAATCTGTCTCAAAATACAATTGCTCAGTTGCTGGTACTAGTGTGAGAAGGCTCAGGAACGTGCCACGAGAGAGAGAGTGTCCTCCTAGTGTCAGCCCTCCTTTCAATTAATTTAAGCCAATTGTGAAGCCGAATCTTTAGCTGACAGAAGGCACTGATTGTATTCACAACTCAAATGGTCTTTCTCCCCTACTCATTTCTTAGACCCAGTTTAATCTGGAGTATTTATTTTTGTTTCTCGTGAGGGTCAGTCATCCTGCACCACACTCAAATCAACCTGTCACTGTAGCACATTGCATATCATTTCTCATGACAAACTCTTCAAAAGGAATGGTCACGTGGTAAAGGCCAACTTGACCAAATGGACTGACTTGGCCATAGTACTGTAGTAGTCTCTAAACCTTGTTTTAACATAAGAGTATACTGCACAAGAGCTCAAGCTCAGTGATTGACAGGTGAGCATCTAGCTTGCCTGGGTAGGTAGGTAGAGACCTGTTACTTACATTGAAAGTGGGAGAAGGATGAGCAAAGGGTGTCTTGCTTTATGAATGATAAGTTGTCTTGTACTTCATTTAAAGAGCAGTAAAGTTTGAGTGGCTCTTCATACTCTGTTATCCCCATCTCATGTGCTTGAGGAAGCAAATTGATACTGGACAGTTATTGCCTTGGGGAAGAGTTGGAGAGGGTAGGTGAAGTTACTGGAATTTCTTTGGAATCAGAACTTGGTATGACAATCTGGCACAGTGGGGCTGTTCAACCTGAAATTTTGTGAAGGGGTAATTTGGTAGAGCCTGCATCTCAGAAATGTATCAAATAGTTGGGTGAAGAAGGTGCACCTGGCCTTCTGAGTACTAAGGAAGCTTGGAGCACACCATTTCAGTAGTTTGGGATTCACTGCAGCAGTCTGAATATTCAAAGGCAGACTTAACAGAAAGTTTTCTTGCAACCAAAATATTTTGTGTAATTAGCACATTAGAGAAAATGTAACCTTTTTCTTATGCTGTGTTTATGTGTTTGTCTTATACTTTTCTGAGCTAAGTCAAAATGGTCCAGCCACTTCAGCTACAGATGCGTGCATGTACATAAGCTTAAGCCTTTTCTCATGGACACTGGTGTTAGTTCTTGGCTTTGTGATAAGCCATGTTCGAGAGGAGAAGGTGTACCAGCAGCTGTGGTTCAGGTGCTAAGCTCTCAAAATGTGTTGGGGTACAATATACAGCGAACTGAACAGCTGTTCTCCATCTCCTCTGAGGAGAAAGATGGTAAGCTCAGCATGTATTGGCCTGTGCTGAGCATGTTGTTAGACAGCTTATGAACTTTTAGTGAATCCTTCCAGTGTGATTGTAAATGGTAGCTAGTTTTGTTGAGAAAGCTACATTTTATTCATCATTTTTTGGTAGATTTGTTTTCCAGATTTTGCTTTTTTTTCCCTTTTCGGCTGTTATGCTGTTATGTTCTTGCATTTTTCTTAACAGTAAAACTACTATATGGTAGATATGAGGGAATCTCAAGTAAGTTTTGAGTAGCCTGTGAACTAAGCCTGAAAATTTTGGTAACCTTCTCTGACTAAAGCTTTCCTAATTCCTTGAAAAGCAAATTTATTTGATTCACATTTAGGTGAAGAAAAGACCTGTATGGTTTCTCAGGAATAATATTGATATACTAATTATTAGAATAGGATAGACTATTTCAGTCAGAATGGACCTACAACGATCATCTAGTCCTACTGCCTGACCAACTCAGGGCTGACCAAAACGTAAAGCATGTTGTTAAGGGCATTGTCCAAATGCCTCTTAAACACTGACAGGCCTGGGGCATCGACCACCTCTCTAGGAAGCCTGTTCCGGTGTTTGACC